TGGGCGGTTTCAATGCGCATGTTGGAGCAGACACTGAAAATAGGGAAAGGCGTGATTGGAAAGAACGACACTAACGTGACCGTGGCCTGCACAATAGCGGCATGAAATTGTTGTGGTTCTCTCTTACAGGTTGTTTTCCACGAACACTTTCCTTGAGCATCGAATCGTACATCAGTAGCATACCTCGTATAGGAAAGCTTCTACACGAAAGTTAATGACGAGTTGATTGTCGTAGAATCTGAGTTACGACGCTCTGCAATGGATGCTTGCATCAAGACAGGAGCAGAGCTTTAAACTGATCATCGCCTTGTTGTTGGCACGTTACGCTGTATGATATGTAGTACCATGCGAAGACTTGACTGCAGAAGCAACCAGAGAATGAAATGGGAACAACTGTGTTCTGCGGATACGAGAGCGAAATTTCCGTATAACAACGCGCGACGGTTTGAACAGATTTCAATGATGACCACTGATGTGGAAATCGACTGGAAGATATTAAGAGTGGCTTACTTCTGACTATCGCTGAACTGTGCGGCTTCAAATGGGTTGGCCTGCCGCCAGGAGGTCAGAAAAGAACTTCTTGGTGGATACCAGAGACAGAACTGGCAGTTAAAGAGAAGGTTGCATTCAAGAAATGGCTTGGAAGCAAAGAGCCTTCTACTCGCATGCGATATGTCGATACGCAAGGCGGCAGCGAAAGCCAAGCCGAATCCTGGGAGAAGTTGTTCGGTGAGGTATTGGAGTCAAACTTTCAGACGGCATACAAGGAATTCGGGCAGACCATCCTCCTGCTTCGAGGTGAAAAGAAGGGCAGCGTAGGAGTCCTAAAGAACAATTTTGAACACCTTCTTACCAAGGATTAAATCATTCTTCGGCCATGGTGAGAGTACTTTGTGGAACAGCTTAACACGAGCTACCGCCGGAAGATTTGTCTGAAAAGCAGCGGGGAAACGGATATTAATATTTCTGTAGATCACATCACGCAAGCTCCGAATGGACTGAATAGTGGAAAGGCTGCTGAAATTGTAGTGCTTACTGGTGATGGAAAATTTATGGAAGAGATTGCCCGGCGGATTGGACAAGTCAATGGCCTTCTGCCTGAATTAGCCCTAACCACTATGACTAAAACAAAGCTAAGTCTGAAGATTAAGCACTTGGTGTTCATGTCGATCTTAAATCCCATGCTCACCTACGGTAAAGAGTTGTGGGCTATGACTGGAAAACTTCGAATCCGAGTACATGGGCTTTTTAAGCATAGTCGCGGCCCTTAGGCATTTCGACGTGGTCCGGAGTCCCAAATCCGCAAGAGCCTTGGTACAGCCGATTCTTTTTCTGAGAAGCCGCAGTCGCGATGGTCTGGGTGTGCGAATACCTCCAGAAAGGAAAGAGAAGCAATAACTTCTTGTTCAGCCAACCCGCAGAAGGCACAGGGAACGGTCAGGATTGACCTGGTGCAAATAAATGGAAGGAGTTTGCTCTAGACTCCGGTTGTTTTCTGTCGATGCTCAGACTTCGACAAAGGATTGGGAACGTTGGAAGCACCGTTTGACTTCTCTGTCACCGTCATTGGGATGCTTTTATTGATGTAGCAGCTTTTCATACAACAATCTGTTTCAGTAATCATGCTTGACACTAACCTTCCTGTTACCCAATACTACTCATTTCCCAAGAAGCTTTTTTTTAAGTTCAGCGGCGTTTAGGAATGTAAGTAGGAAAGACAAGTGTTTCTTTCATTACATATACGCGGATTTTACCATCCATAACAGCATGGACCAGCCTATACCGATGTCGACTGAATTTATTTCAGAATCGGTCCACAGTGGTACGGACTGCAACTAATTTGCTGTTTAGTCCAGATCGGCATCTGTTGTCTATATAACAATATCTCTTAAACCTCAGTCTATATCGAAGTCATATGGGAAACTAAACCATACACGAGACAATGATTTAGGTACATAGGTTGGCTTAGTTATTTTCTGGCTTCAACTGAAAGTATTTCATTAAATCAATTTCAGACCGTACTGTTATGGCCTGAATCGCGAATTAAATTCAGTCTATATCGGAATAAAATTGTCCATACTGGTATGAATCAATCATCACCCCCAGATTGTAGCAACGACATGCAATGCCCTGAATCGCACAGAAAATTTTCTGCATCATGGTTCACGCAAAAGCGTAGTAATGGCCGCAGTATGAACGATTTTCTGGGTTTCATAATTTAAGATGATTATTTCCAAACTGATTAATCATGTTTTCTCAAGTAAACTTGCTGACAGTTTTTCAGAAATTTATGCCCTGAGTCAGGGTAAATGGCATGAGTTGAAAATACTACATAGGCCTGGTCTTTTCTTAAGCTACCTTGGCGAAAACCACCTGTACAGTTAATGTAAATGTTTAGACTCTGGGAATTATCACCTTCTTCAAATAGCAACCAAAATAGTCGACAGGCCCTTGCGCACGTCAGAGGCCGGTACTTCATGATGATATAATCAGGTGATCTGATAAAGGCATACGTTAACATGCCCGCCATGTTAGTGAATCTTTACTGAAGTCCTGAAAGGAGGAGGCATAGAATTTATCAGGCTAACAACTGACAATATCAAGGAGGTTGGTCTAGCAGTACCATATCTGATTATGCACTGCAACCGACGTTCAAGCATTAGTCTTAACACTTACTGAACTAGAGCTTTGGTTTGTCAGTATTACTTTAGCAAAGTCATTCTTTTGATGTATAAAAAGCAACCGCATCCAAAAAATATGGTAACCAGACAAATTCATAGGTTCCTGCAGAAGACAGATGGTGAACTCATAAAAGAAAGAGCAAAATACATCCTGTTTAGCAAACTCAGCTTCGTCGTCGAGGAGAAGCGTGTCTTCATTTTAACCAAATAAATTCACTAATTTTTGCATTATCTAACAAACTATTTTCATTTCAATCCATCTACTGCCTTCTACTGATACAGTGAAAAATGGAAAATGACCAACGTAAGGACAAAGCTAAACATTCTGTTAAAAAAGATTATTTGATAAAGTAAACTGATTAGTAATTTGATTAGTGATTAGTAAATTGTAAACAATAAGCAGATAAAAGAAATTCACCATTTCTATATTTTCTAAAACATTGATATTTCCACCTGAGCCGATTTCGAAAAAAAGGATTCAGAAAAATAACACGGAATCTGACTGGCGTAAGTGACCAACGCTTTTGTCATGTTCTTCAGACTATGAACAAGCTAAATAATTACATAGCTAGTAAAATAATATAACATTTATTCAGAAATCATTTTTTACCAGAGCTCCTTCGGTGAGAGATACACAAATGCTGTCAGCAGGATTTTTGTAAGCATTTAGAAGAATTTCCATCATCGCTGTTATAATTTCTGGCATTAACGTCTTTATCTTAAAGCAATACAAAACTTACATAAATCAATAAGAAATGCTCTCCGGCTAGAAAATGAAATTCATTCCTAATAATCATGACAAAACATGACATCCTCATATGAACAATATAGTCATACAGAGAATATTTTAAGAAATTTCTGAAAGTTGTATAAAAAGGACAATATAATCTTTAAGTTGGAAAGTAAAGAAAAAAATGAGCAGCTTTGAGGATTAAAAAATAACGGTCAACAAATCTTGAACATATGAGATTATGGAGAAACAGAAGTTTAATAATCAAGAATGTTGGTGGAGGTAGTATAAAAACAACTAAACACTTCTTTGAACAGTTTAACTCAAAAGCATTATAGTAATAAGGCTTGT